TCACAGATGTGCCACCTTGGGTCTTCAGAAGGAGCTCCCTCTATAAGAAACATCTTGAAATTCCTTCTAGATTTCTTCTAATACATAATTTTCTATTTTTTCTTGCCTTTTCCTCACTAACCCCTGCTGGCTTATATCTACGTAGTGTAAAAAGTTGGACTCAGCTCTTTGGAGAGGATCTTGCTTGAATTTAATTTCTCCTCTTCTTCCCCTTAGCCTACTCTGAGTCTTCTTTGTCTTTCCTAATATCTGACTTTAGCCCATCCTGTATTTCACTTTGACCTTGTTCACCAGATAATTTAAATTGGAGTGTACTTGGCCCACACACTGGGCTAAGTAAGTGAATTTGGGTGGATGTCTGCAAGATTTCTAAGAGGTCAGGAGTCTTATAATTTCCACAGTCTTGATCTCCAGGAGCCAGAAGAAGCTAGTGGCACATGTTGGTGGGAGTCTTCTGTTCCCATCAATTCCCATCATCACCAACCTTTCCTTGGTTGAGAGCTTACATTTTGTTATTTAAGCATGTATTTATTAAATACATTTTTAAACACTATACAGGGAAATAAAACTGACAGTCAAAAAATTTTTTTCTTTCAGAGAGGGAAATTGATAGCATTTACTCTAAATTTAATTAGCCAGCTATAAAAAGTTGAACTGGTAAAGTCTAAAATGTTCCTCTCAATGACCCCACCCCCTCCTATTCCAAGAGCAAAATGTAATGCACTTTAAACACTGTGGCCCCCGTTAACTCTTTCACAAACTTTTGCGTTATTTCAATGTGCATGAAATAACTGTTGAAAGCTTCCTCCAACACAAGCATATTTAGTAATCACAATGTTGCAACCCTCTTATACTCTTCAGCTACTGACTTCTGTACTCTGTATATATTCATTATTAAATAACTGAAAAGTCCAACTTATAATTCACCTTCTCATGTGAGCTTCCTTCATTGTATCATATCGTAATTTCCTTCAGTGATGATCTACTATTTGGGTCTTCACAGCATCACAATTTCAGGAAAAAACAAAAACAAACATCAAGCTCTTTTTCAAAAGTTAAATAAACCAAGGCCAACATATTGAAAACAATCCAAACATGATGGATACATTTGGTTATCTATATACTAAAATACTAAATCTATATACTAAAATAGTGATGAATATATAACCTTTATAAGAAATAATTCATTTTTTATAAGCAGACTTTGGCAAATTATGACCCTCTATCTATTGGTAGATTAACTATCAATAATGATTTTCTCTTTAAAAGTTATTCTATTCAACCCATTTAACAATTATTTGTTGGTGATTAGACCTGAGACTGTGAAGGGAGAAAAATATAACTGGGGACATGTTCTCCACTCTCAAAAGGCAGGCTGATTTATAATAACTATAATAAGAAGGAAAATGTGGTAAATTTCCTGACAGGGGTATAAACCTAGTATGAAGAAAGCACAGAACCAAAAAGGATTAATTCTAACTAAGGGAATGTGGTAAGGAGCCAGTAGATATTGAAAGGAATGTAGTATAGTGTAAAGGTCTGGACTTCAAGGTCAAAGGACCAGAGTTCCTATCTCAGAAATGTCATTTACTAGCTGCATGACTGCAGGCAAGTTAACATGTCTAGGCTTATCTTATCTCATCAATAAAACCAGGAAAATAAAATAAAAACCAACAACGTAGCACTTCGTACCAAGACAACACTATGAGCATTTAACACACATTAATTCATTTAATTCTCACAACTCTGTGTATATACTAGCATCATCCTCATTTTGCAAATGAGGAAACTGAGGTACAGAGAGGTTAAGTGGCCTGCCCAAGGTCCACACGGGTGCATGGCAAGCTGGGGATGAACATCGAGCAGTCAGGCTCCAAGCCTCAACCACTCACTGCTCAGTGTTGATGAGTTAATGTGAGAGTACTCTATACCCTCCATGAGCACAAGCGTGTACACATTTTATTGACTCTTTTCAATAACCCAATCAGGCAATTACTATTATTACACACCTTTACAAATGAGGAGACTGGCTTGGCAAAGTTATGAAGGCATAGTTGTCTGGCTGTGGGTATGACGGGCTAGAGAACGACATGAGGGAGACTGTTTAGAGGTGTTTTGCAATAATGAAGTGTGGTGGTGATAAAGATGGAAAGGAGGGAGGAAAATGGGAAAAAGAAAGGTTAGAGAGAAACGGGAAGAGAATGAAAAAAAGTATATATCAAAGAAACCAGGATTCTAGAGGGGTCAGCAAGCTGTAGCCACCTGACAAATTTGGTCTACCACTTCTCTGTGGAAAAAAAGTTTTACTAAAATACAGCCACACTCAATTATTTATACAGATGGTGCCAAAAAAATGTATACACATTTTGAGAAAGGAAAAAATTTTACTAAAATTGTAATACTTGTTGGAAGTAAAATTGATCATTCCCAAAAACATCTTTTGAGCGAACATCATACTACACATTGCTACCATAATGCAATTCAATTTCAAAAAGTAATACATAGATAACATCTCTTAAAATGTGTATACAGGGCCGGCCGAGTGGTGTGTTGGTTAAGAGCTGGCTTGGGACACTAGCTCTGAGCAGCAGGGCCCCGGTTCAGATCCCACATGAGGGCCAGTGACACTGCCCTCTACAGCTAAGATGGTGAACAACAACTTAACTTGGAGCTGGGCTGCCTTAGAGTCGCCGGCTATGGTGTAGGCTGCCGTGGAGCTGCAGTGGGCTGCCATGAGCTATTGTGAGCAGCCGGCAGCCAGCGAGAGGGACCGGCTGGAGTGAGCTGCCATGAGCCACCATAAGTGGCCGTCCAATGGACGGTGAGCGACTGCCTCACCCAGGAAGAGCACAATGATAATACCAACATGGGCCAGTGAAGCGATGTCTTCCACAACTAAACTGAAGAACAAAAATGACAGCAACTTTTCTGTTCCCCTTCCCCAATTCCCCAATAAAACCTTAAAACAACAAAAAAATTGTATACATTTTTTGGCACCCCAGGTATATTCTCTGTGGCTGCTTTTGCCCGACAACAGTCAAATTAAGAGGCTGCCACAGAACCTATCTGGCTTGCAGTGCATATTTACTATTTGGCCCCTGAAAGAAAAACTGTGTCAATCCTTGCTCTAGAGGAGTCCTGTCCAGTAGAAACTTCTGTGATGATGGAAATGTTCTATATCTCCACTGCCCAATAGGGTAGCCACTGGCCACAGGTGGTTGGCTCAATTTAAATTAATTGAAAGTAAATAAAATTTAAAATTTAGTTCCTCAATCACACTGGCCACCTTTCAAGTGTCCAATAGCCACATCTGACTAATGTGACTGTGGGACTGAATTTCAAATTTTATTTAATTCTCACTAAATTAAACTTAAATTTAACTAGCCACATGTGGCTACTGGCTACCATACTAGACGGTGCAGTATAAGGAATTTCAAGGAGATAGAGGTGGTCCCCAGAGTCAAATACTAGAGGTCAGATAAGGTAAGGACTTCAATTCAACCCAATGAATTAAGCAACAAATAGGTACTGATGATGTTTGGGAGAGCAATTTGTATACAGTGATGAGGACTGTGGCCATGTTGCACTGGATGCAGGAGTATTCAGGGGAGAAGGACCTGGAGTACACGTGACATGGCTGAGAAGTTAGGATATAAAGAGAAGGGGGATGTTCTGGCTTCTCTTTAGCTTGTGTAAATCTTTCAACTGTTTTTTTGTTCCTTTGTTTGTTTTTATTAAAAGAGGAGGTGAAAAGTGAAGGTAGCTAAGGGGAGAAGGACAGCAAATTAATGAAAATATCCTTCGTTTTTCAATGGCAATGACAGGTGGGAAAGAAAAAAGTAGGGCAAAGTTCAAGCTGGGTTTTGGAAATGCAAGTACATTAGTGCTGCTGAAATAAGGGATGTGTGATCGGGGTGGGATGATAACATGAGATGAGGCAAGAACACCCAGTGCAAGCCTTATCTTAAAACCCTTGAATGCCTTGTTAAGGAGAAGCCATGGGAGGGTTTTGAACAGGGGGATGCCCAGCTCAGAAATGGATTTCAGGTCAGACTTGAGGGGCAAATGAGGACATGGAATCAGTTAGGATGTACTGACTAGCCTAGGAAGTCACGGTAAATAATAAACACATGGGGAGAGGAGACTATTGTAGAAACAACTCAAAAGGAATCAGAAGTAGGAGGGAGGGTGGCATCAAAGAAAACTTAGGTTTTTATCATCTTTGGGTGTCAAGGTTATGTCCTTTTTAAGGGAGATCTGGAATAAGGAGCAAAAAACAGTTTTGACATGGGAGAAGGAACTAACATTTTGTTAATACCCAAGAATGTGCCAGTTCTGAGTTTAGTGATTTACACACATCAAATCATTTCATTCACACACTATATCCCTTGAGGAAGACAATGTTATTTTCCCATTTTACACATGAGAAACAAGGCCGAGAGACATCAAGGAACTTCCCAGAATTATAAAATCAACACGTGGCAGACTGGAACCTAGTGCTTTCTGACTCCAAGGAAAATGTTATAAATTTGCAATTTTACATGTCTGTGTGCTTATGTGAGTAATTCTCGCCCTTACACTAGATGCTGTTTCCTGTGGGCAGAGATTGATTGTGCTAGCTCATTAATGGCACAGAGCAAATGTTCCATAATTATTTTTAAACAAATGTCTGCAAGTGTGAATGGCTGTGAATTGAAGTAGTACTCCTCTGACACATTAACACAAATAAGAAAGTCTCATAAGGTAACCGCTCAGCAAAAACAATGACTGGCTCAAAAGACTACTCTTGCCCACAAACAGAGACGGCTTTAAGCATTTTTAAGAGGGCATCATATTGCTTTATTCACACAGTGACATCCCATCTAAATTACAGACACTTGGCCTCGGGCAGTATCAACTGACTGTTCCAGGAAACCCTCCAAATTGGGTAACTGCTTACTTGGGGCAGCATAATAACCTTATGGTAATTTAACCACTAAGGACATTGTTTTTGACAAAGTACTTGGAAAGCACACCTCTCTATAGGACAATTACTTTAACAGAGAAACCTTACACAAAGAGAGAGGCATTCTTTAGCTCTACGGATCCTTCATACAAGGATATGTACACGCCGAACCTGGCCCCGTCCCACTAGCTCTGGCCACAGATTGCCCCATCTGGACATGAAAGAATAGCCCAGACAGCTGCACCCCGGCCAGGTCATCTCGGATTAAAACCTAGTGAATTGCCAATGGTGAGACATGCAGCCAACAGGAAAAAGAATAGAAAGAAAGACTTTCAAGAAATCAATACCTGTTATCTGAACTGGACCCACTGTCAATGAAGAAGAAAAGGCATAAATGAATCATCTTAAAGATCCTCCGGTTGTGAGTCATGCTTGACAGTTAAATTCAAAGCAGAGGGTGAGAACACCGTTTGATCTTGTTTGTTTTATTTTTCTTCTAGGGGAAATGCAGGAAAAACAGAGAGTGGAGGCAAAAGCAAATAGGATTCGGTGTAATATAAAAAAAAGGAAAACGATGAAATTAGAATTAATTAATATTAAAGGTCAATGAAAAGGGGAGATCAAAACACATTTAAATTTCAAAGTGTAAATTTATTAAAATTGAAATATAATCCCAAATAAATATAAACTTAAAAGTACGCATTAAAGGGAAGAAAACTTCATTAGTCAGCTCCTTTCAAGAGAGCGCTTAGGCAACTCAGGAGCAAGGGTCTTCAGTCAACCAGCTCAGAAGTCAGGCGTGATGAGCTCCAAACCAGAGCAGGTTCCTAGAAATCCAGACCCACAGAGCAGGATGCCCACAGAGACACCAGGCAGGTAACCCCAGAAACTCACAACTATCCAGAGAGCCAGGAGCCGGCAGGAGAGGAGGTGCGCTCTCCCGAGTCATCTGGTATTTGTTGGAGACAAGAGAAGATGCCTGTCAGCATTTAATCCTGATAGCAATGAAGCGATGAAGAAAGAACAGAAAGGAAAGGGAGAGAGGGAGAAAGGAGACAAGCCACCCCAGCACCAAGCAGGGGAGGCAGAAGCCACATTTGTGGACATGGTGTTATCTCACTCTGGTTAAGGAGATATGGGAAGAAGGGAGGGGAGAAAGAGGGAAGGACTGACCAATGTGCTCTAACCCTGAGGCCTTCAGGACGGCATCTTTTTCTATTTTCATAGTACATCTTTGTCTTAGCCACCCATCTTTCTCTTGAAGGCTATAATGCATGTGGAACGAAACACTGCAACATTGTGATGAAACTCACTCCTACAGCTGAGGCTCCCAGAAGGCAGACACCACATTCATTAACTCATTCTGCACAACACTTAGCTCGTGTCCATGGAGAGATGCTTAATACAAGCTCTTATTAAAGAGGAGGAATACAATCAATCATTTTGGAATGTCTAAGAACTTTGTCTTCCCTCTGAGCCTTTTAAATCCTTCTATGATTATTTCTATAAAGACTACATAATTGGGAGAGATAGGCAGGGACCATCAATTTTGTTTATTGCTTAAAATAAAAAGATCTGAAGCAAATGTGACACTATGCTAAGATTTTACAGAGTCCAGTGTTCAGGGTCAACTAAATTATTACCTTTAATTATTCTCTAAATATTTCATAAGGAAAAAGGCTGTGGGACCTTAATCACAATATTTATTAATCTTTTTGGAGAAAAAATTTTGACAGTGCACATCAGAAAGCATAGAAATTCCCTCTGACCCAGAAATCTAAGAATTTGTCAGCAGGAAGGAAGGAAAGAAACAGGGATAGAGGAAGAGATGGACAGACAGACAGACACAGAGACAGACATCTTTGGAATGCCATGTCCAAAGATGCAAGTATATCTGCCTGTTTATAATAGCAAATAAGGAGAAAACATTTAAATATCAACATGAAGGAATTGTGAAATAATTTTACATTCACCCAATATGCTACAATATTCTGCATACATTAAAAATCATGCAATAGAAAAATAGAGGAATAGAAAAATCACAACTTATTACAAAGGGAAAAATGAGACATCAAATATTATGGATAGTATAATTCCATTTTTCTGTAAAAACAAAAATAGCGACCTATAGCCAAACAGACTGACAAACAGACATAGATTATAGATCTTAAAAAGGCAAACTTCTACACACACAAAACTGATAAATCTGAATTTATCAGTTTAGTGAATTGTATCACCAACGTCAGTGTTGGTTCTGTACTATAGTAACTGTACTATAGTAACGTGAGATGTTACCCTTGGGGGAGGCTGAGCGATGGTGACAAACAACCTCACTGTACTATTTTTGCAACTTCTTGTGAGTTCATCAGTTTTCCAAAATAAAAATTTAAAAAGAATATATAAAAGACTAAGGGAAATATACCTAATACACCATGATATACTGAGAATGTATTTAGATATTAAACTACAGCTGATTTTCCACCTATTATGGCTTTCCTAAGTTTATCTAATTAAAATTTAAAGTAATACTGATTCTTCATGGAAAAAGAAGTGAACCTAAATTTCATTCAGAATTATTGAAAACAAAAAAAAAGTGAATCTAAATTATTCAGTCAGAATAAAGAAATGTCAATGAAAAGTAATTCAAACCTAAGGCTTATGATTATAAAATTTCTGCTCTTTAATTAAACCCTGTGTTTCATCCAACTTCCCAACTTCATCTCTCACCTAAACAACCTTACACACAGACACAAACAGACATATTTACAAAATAAATCTAACTTAACTAACTAAATATCACTGAGCATAACTCTAAATGTTAAGCAAAGTAAACAAAATTTTTATTATGCCTTTTTCCCAGCCTTATCCTCAAAATAATCTGATCACAATGTCACAAGCTACATTGCTCTTTTGGCCAACCCCCCTACTATCCACACATCACATTCCTAGGTAAACCATTTTCCATTAAAATGCAGTCATTTGAAACCTGAATACAGTGCAGCTTGCTCAATTAAACAAGAGTTCATTATCTAGCTAATGATGACCAAGCCCATTAGAACCCTTTATTCTTTTTTATTGTTGTTACTTGTCTTTTCCTCACCTACCTGTGTGTTAGCACCTCTAGCAGAAAATAAGAGGCTGCACAAAGGGATACAATTTAACTTGGTTGATTCTTTTCTCTATTAAAGGAGTCATTAGTTAGAACACAGCTACTGTTCACCAAAATGTGAGGCTGTGTGCTCTAGTCATTCACACCTCAACAGTCAAAAGCAATTCCGCATAGAGTTGACTGTAAAATAAAACATTTTTTATTATCCACATGTTCAGAACATAATAACTAGATAGTCCACATCACTGGTGACTACTCTTCTTTTATTAAACGGGAACATGAAAGCTATCTTAGTACAAACCAAAACGCTTTTTTCCTTTGATGTATGACATCGCTCTTCAAAGCTATACACCAGCACACACTAGGCTCTCGTTCAGTACCTGGATTAGTGCCTGGCTCACAGAAGAAGACATTCAATAAACATTTGATCAATGAACAAGAGAAAGAAGGAAAGAATGAGTGAGGGGACAAATAAGTTCATGAATGAATGAGTTCTAGAGCCAAAAATTCTTCGCTTTAATAAAGATAACAGGCTAACAAACACATATGTATGTATATACACACACAAGCGCACGTGCATGCACACACACACACACACACACACAAATACACACATATAGAGTAAAATCATCTTTTATGATTTAACAGATTTTAATTTAAGAGTGTTATTATTTCCATCAAATACAGTCTTTGAAATAAGTAGATATTTAACAAGAAAAAGAAAATCTTCCTAATTAAAGACAATCTGTTTACTAAATATAAATTTTAAAATTAATCCTTTTATAAATTAAGATAAGAGAACAATTTCATCAAATTAGATCTACTGAGCCTGTAATTACAAATCATATTTCAAACATCTCTTGAAATATTCAGGTAAATAATGAGATGTTTATAGTAGACATATGTAGGAAAGCTGGAGCAGTCAGGACCCAACATTTTAAAATGATAATAAAATCAGCTTTATAGTTTTCTAAAATTCAAGCTCTTAACAGATTAAGATCAGCTTTTACTCCAAATACTATAAATATTAAGATATTTGTCATCATTTGTGGCAATATCATGAATGTGTCCTAAAAGAATTAATATTTTTCATGTTATCTGATTGCTATCTCTTCTCTCTCTCTCTCTCTCTCTCTCTCTCTCTCTCTCTCTCTCTCTCTCTCTCTCTCTCTTTCTATTGAGGTATAATTTACACATAACATTGTATTTGTTTTAGGTGAACAACATAATGATTTAATATTTGTATACACTGTGAAATGATCACCACTATAAGTCTAGTTACCATCCACCACCATGCATAGTTACAAACTTTTCTTTTGTTTTCTTGTGATGAGAACTTTTAAAATTTACTCTCTTAGCAACTTTTAAATATGCAATATAGTATCATTAACTTTAGTCATCATGCTATACATTACATTCACTGGAAGTTTGTACCTTTTGACCTCCTTCACCCAATTCACACCCCTCCACACTACTCTTCCCCTCTGGCAATCACCAATCAGTTCTCTTGTATCTATGAAGTTTTTTTGTTTCATTTTGTTTTGTTTATTTGTTTCATTTTTTAGGTACCACATATAAGTGAAAAATCATATAGTATATGTCTTTCTCTTATCCCTCTTAATGGGTTTTTATTTGGTTAATAAAATTTGATGTGTTTGTTAACATATTTACTAAGAAATGACAATCTGGGAACGTAATATTGATCCAACTCTTAAATCTGAAATTCTTGGAATCTGATATGTACCAGAGAGACTAATTTTCCAGTCCACACTCACATGGGTAGTTGGTCTGTACCACATAAGTAAAGTATTTCCCTTCTTACATGTCTTTGGCTTGATGACTAGAAACTCCTGCTGCTTGTAAAACATTCTCTACTACAACTTTAAGATAAATGAATTAAAAAGGAGCAAAGGGGCCAACTGCCTCATAATGAAATTTAAACCTATGAAGACAAGAGAATCTCAAACTCTTTGATGTCTTGATAGAAAGGAGGTTCATTTGGGTTCTGGTGGGATGGATAATTCAGGTAATATCTCTTGCAATTTATGTAGGAACCTAGATTCAGGAGATAGACTAAGAAGGTTATTCTGCATGTGGTGAAGGTTTAAAATCACTTCAGTTGATACACAAAAGGTTATGCTACGTGCATTCCACCATGTGAGATATGACAGGTGACTGAGACTTGAACGCTGCCCTTCTATTACCTAGTCATGATTTGCTAAACTACTGGTAAGAGAAAGGTATTATTGGAGTGTAAGCTGATATAGTGGGTGTATAGTGACAAAATGGAGATAAATATTAAGCATGCTTTGCCAAACTAGCTTAACAGGAAATGTGATTTAAGGTGATGTGCTTTTTCAAAAAGAACTATGTATCAA